TTCATCCTCCTTTCTTCCTGCGCAGCTGTTAAGGTGTGACTGTGGCCAGTTCTGCTTTATCTCTGTTCGCTCACAGCATGAGGTGCTGAGTTTGGCTTGGAAGTCAAGTCAGTGCTAGAAGGGCTGACTGGGCAAGCTCAGCAGCAAGCATGGTTAAAGGTGGTAGAAGAAGAGCTGTCTCACCTGCAGACAAACCCATCCACAGAGGAAGGATGCCCAGCTCCAAACATCCACAGACGAAGGATGCCCAGCTCCAAACTTGCAGAGTTGTACCAATGTGACCCAGAGGAGACAAAACCTCAAGAAGAGGAGCAAGTCACATAACTTCACAAGGTCAGAACACAGTCTGAACCCCTAAGTAGAGCTTTGACATGGACCTTGTCTATAGGCCCCAGTTTGCAGCAGTCCATCCCAGGCTTCACAGGGAAATGGCAGTTAGAGAAACTGTCCGCCTCTAAGGTCTTTGGTGAAGAATCCTGGTTTCTGTATTTATGCCATCTGCTTCTGTAGGAGATGAGCAATGAAAACCTCCAGAGCTGAGGGGCAGGTGTACATCCTTACTATAGGATCTCAGACAGAAGGGCTGGTTTTATCTTCTCTGGGAAAGCCTTTTCCAGTGGCAGCACACTTCAGGTGGACATGAGAGAGGAGGAGCGCAACTTGCACAATAATTTTGTCCTCACTGTATCCTTCCTTAACTACAGCCTGTGAGAGAAGCACACCTTCAGGCCCCTGCACCAATGATGAAACCTATGTAAGCAGCAATCCCAACAAAGAATCTGGTTGCAGCTCAGTAGTGCAATAAGTTGTGTTTTGTAGACTCCACAGTGTATATTTGGTTGTAAGATATGCTCACTTCTGCCAGATGACATGGTTAAATGGCTGTCTGTAGAACAAAGCAACCCAGGCATTTCGAAGAATTCACCTGTAGCTTAATTTTGAAATGTGATTAAGAGCTGAGAATCGCAGAAAAGGAGCTAGACTGCAAAGCCCCTGGATTCTGCCTGTCTGCATTTGCATGCTCAAAGTGGGATATTGCAGCACCAAGTCTCCTACTTGCAGAGCGCCATAATATAGGTGGATTTTCCATCCTCGTGAGATCAGTGGCTTTCAACCTGTGCCCCTGTAATTTGCAAAATGGAGCTCTCAGTTGAGGCAGCTGGGGCACTCAGGAGTCACTCTTGCAGCAACAGAAATTATCTTGGAGGGGAAATCTCCATCTGGGGAGCAGGGAAGGTTTCTTTTTGAGGGACATGAGTATTACGTCCATCCATCCTTGGGCCAGACAGCAATTGTGGCCTCACTTTTCTAGCACTACAATTGCTGCTGCAGTGTCACTGACAGGCAGTGAAGTGGTTTGTCATCCCCAGCTGTCTTCAGACACCACTGCATATGGCAAGCATGGCCATGGAGCTGGACAACTGCTGTCCCATCTGCCTGGACAGCTGGGATGACACTGCCTCTGCTTCTGCTAAGAGTGCCTTCTGCAGTGGGCTGGGAGGAAGCCTGAGGACCCTCTCTGCAAGAGGAGAGTGACCTCCATGCTGTGCTTGGTGTGGGGGATGGCAGCTTTGAGGAGCATGCCATTCCAGCCCAAAGAGCACCATGGGACCTGTTCCACCTGAAAGGAGGAGGTCCCAGGTACCCAGCTGCTCCCAGTCCCCACACTCTGGCCATCAATGGGAACACAGCCACCTCCAGTGGCTGAAGGTACAGCAAATGAGCTACAGTATGTGTGAAGTTGTACTCATTGATGAAAGCTTTCATTTTTACAGGAATTTAAGAAAAACGCAAATCTAAACCAAAAATCATGGACAAAACTATGCCCCACATTGTTGTACTGTGGGGATGTGAGGGGAGTAGAAAAGGAGAAAAGGAGAAGTTTAGATGCAGCTGCCCTGCAGTCAGCACAAATGTCTGGAAGAACAGGCATCTCTGCTGTTGGACAATACCTTTTTCCTGACCCAGAGATGTGACAACTGAGAGGTGTTTTAAAAGCTTTAATTCCATTTTTAGTCTCATGAACAGGGTGTGACAATACACGTTATAATTCACACCATCACAATCAGAAGATGACTATTTCCTAATTACAATACACTATATGCATTTCTTGGCCTGTCAGCTTTTTGCCACACCATGCTGTAGATGCCTTAAAGCCAATCATCTAGAACTACCCCTCATGTGTCCTATTACAATGCTTCTTTCATAGTTCTATTTCTTCAAAGCATCTAGTCTTATTTGCAAGGCCATCCTGTGAAACTTTTTTCTAGCTCCATTTCTCTCTCAACAATATCTGTTCTATTCCATGACATTTTTAAGTCAGCATTTCTTGTCTCAAAGCTTGCATGTGGATGCATGCTATGTGGGCTTTCTGTCAGGCCTTCAGAACTCTACAAATCCATTTCCCACACTCTACAATAGGCTCTGCTCAAGTGATCTCCCCTGCAGGAAGCTGTGATCATGTATCAAACTCACTGATCTCCTAAGCACTTAGCTGCTCCCAATCCCCATTGCTCTGCAGCAGTATCAGACCTGAGACAAGGACTCCTGCTGCCCCTAGTTCCCACAGCACTGCAATAGTCCTGCCATCAGCCGTGTGGCCACTGCCCTGGGCTCAGTGAGCATCTCCTGCCCTACGTCTCAGCATCCCTCCTCTACCTTGCTGTTCTCCACCACCTGCTGTCACAGTTGCATTGGGAGCAGAGGCAGCTCTTTGAGGATGGTAGGAAGCAGCAACAGTGCAGTGCCTTGTCCCATCCCACTGTTCTGGTTTGACATTGGCACAAGGCCAAATGCCCGCATGAAAATACACCTCCTCTGGTGTCTGCTGTGAGATTTTGACCAGGAATAAACAAAGCAGGCTCTCACTTGAAAAAGAAGAAAAGTTTATTAACTAAACTACAAAAAAAAATTACTAAACTACACACAAAAGGAAGAAAAAGAAAAAAAAAAGAAAAACACAAGGAAAATGAAACCTCACAAAAACACTCTCCTCCTCCTCCTCCCCCCCAAATTCCCAATACAATACAATCCAAAATCAATTCTGGGTCCAGCACCACCCTTTAGAATGCTCAACTTCAGTTCCTCAAGAGGAGAGGGAGTCCTTCCATGTGTCATGGTGGCCTTTTCCGTCCTTGTTCCGGTGCTCTCACCACCGGGCCAGAATCAGGGCTGCTTCCAGGGTTGTCCTTTTAAGGAGGCTGTGTCCAGTTCCAGAGAAGCTCAATCTCTCACCTCTGGGACATCTGTCCCCCCATATTTTATATACCCCCTGGGGCCGAGGGGTACCCACACTGAATCTTCTTTGGCTCTGGGACATTTCTCCCCCTGGACTCAGTCTCTGTATTCCAGGGAAACATAGCTCTGTCCATGGCTACGCAAAAGAGTCCAGCATAAAATGCCACTCCCTCTTCTCCATCTTTCTAACATCTCTCACTCTCTCTCTCTCTGGTCCAGACCTTTATCACTCGCTCATTTCCTTCGTCCTCCTCTACTCTTATCCCTCGTCTAGGAAGGGTTAATGTTCTGTGAAGTTTTCATTGTCCAAAAAAAGGGTTAAAAACTCCTCCAAGCGGCTGGACTCCTGGCTGCACCCCCCCAACCATCTCCTCAGCCGGGCTGCCTGCTGTCAGCACATGTTTACTGCTTTCAAGGTAACGGCACACAAACACCGGCTGCACTCTCTCTGTCTGTCTCCAAGGTGAGGGGGGGGGGAAAGAGGCTGCCCATTGCTTCCCGGCATTTCTTTAGTTCTTCCTTCCACCCTTGGGGGGAGGGGGCCAGGCCTACCTCTCCCGGGCCGAGCCGCATGGCTTTTCCCCTCCCCCAGCCCAGCCAGCAACTGGGCCGGGGGAGAGACTCAACTCCTTCACCGCCGGAAATCCAAAGAGAGACTGCCAGGGGGAGAGCCCTGCTTTTACCCTGTGTTCTCGGAGGTGGATCCCATTCCCCAGTGGTTGGGCCAGATGGCAATATTCAAATCTGAGCACTCATTGGCCCCATCCACACAGCATCCCAGAAATCCTGTTTCCGGGTCAAACCATGACACCCATCCAGCCTGCACTACTTTGGCCCAAATGAGGCTTTGTTCCAGCTTCTATGGGCTTCCCTGCACAGGCACACAAGAAGCTTTGCCCACCAGTTTATTGACACCATCACAGGCCCAGTGTGGAGGCCCAACATCAAATGGGCCCGGAGGTCAGCAGTGCAGCTGGAGAGTGGGAGAACAGCCCCTCTACAGTCACTGATGCCACTCCAGGGGGTCTCCCAGGCCAGCCTTCATGGGGTCCCAGCAGCAATTCCCATTCTGTCCCCATTCCTACTCATGGGGAGCAAGAAGGAGCCTGGGAGAACCCAGAGGAGGCTGTGCCTTGTTGTTCCACGTGCAGCTGGTCAATGAAAGCTCACCTGGGGCATCCCAGCAAGCCTGCAAAGGGAGGGCCAGCAGCTCTGAGGACCCTTCCCAGACCTCCAGGAAGACAGCCCACCATCCAGCGACAGGGTTGAGAGGGCCTGAGGATACAGCTAAATCAGTCCAGGCTGCAGCTGGGGTATACGCCAGCCCCTTGTGGTCTTAGCCTTCCAAATCTATTTAGCATTTATCAAAAGAAAATGAAAGCATGAAAACTGCAGAAGATGTTTGTGTGTTATTAACTAACACTGGTGGTGTTGCTCTCCCCACTTGTAATGTTTCTCTCCCCATTCCTGGTTCTTTGACCACTGATTTTTCATGTGTTTCCTGAGCATTATAAGTTTGCATTTCTGCAGTTGATCCCAGGGTAGATGTTTCCAGCCAGGGTGACTCCAGGGTCAGCCCGTGCCCCACCACTCAACTTCGAAAGTTCTCCTCCTCACCCTGTGCCCCACATCCCGGGGCTCTGCTCTCCTGCCGGCTTGCACTGCCCGCTGCAGCCTCACTACGGCAGTGACTCAAATCCCTCCTCCTGCCCGGAGTCACGACTTGCTGCTGCTCTCTGAATCAATCCAGGCTTGTACCCTGTCAAGGCAGGAGCCCCAAGAAATTCAACAAGGGGAAGTACGAAGTGCTGTCCCTGCTTGCAGTGGAAGAGAAGTGGGTGAGTCTTCAGATCAGGCAAATGAGAAAAGAAAGGCCCAAATGATGAATATAATTCATTCAAGACTTTGCCTCACCTTGCCTTTCTTTTGCTAGTGGATAAAATTGTGGAGAGGAAGGGGAGCCAAGGTGAATGCGAAATCCCACAGTAGACAGCTGGGGAAGAGGGCACTCAGAGCAGCTCCCTGCATCTGGTGGAAGTGATTACAGGAAGGGGTGCACCAAAAATGGACAGGAGATTGGCTATTTTCTTATTTTCAAACTTTTGCACTATTGAATCCCCCTGCCACCTCTGCTGGGAGAAAAGGCAGGTGTGTGCCACAGGTGCTTGCTGCAAGTTGACCTGGCAGCTGGGAGGGAGCAGAGGGGGACACACACTAATTCATTTCACTGGGAAACAACTCTAGAGGCACTCGAGTGCAAGCACTGGAAACACTGCAGCCGTGCTGTCTCGAGTTAGGTACAATATGTGGAGATGTGGAAAGCGTCTCCGAGGCAGCACACTCCCCCTTCTTGCAGTACACAGACAGCTGTGTGCGAGGATCACTTGCATTTTCTCCTCACCAGGGAAAGGCTCAGTGTGTTGAGCAATGTGAGTCCAAAGGAATGTAACCTGTTCCTTTGTGTTTGGATTTACTGACCAAGCACTGAGCTGTCTTGGCTCCTGGGGACTGGAGAAGCACATGAGCAAATGCACTTTTCTCCCCTGGTGGGAAGCTGGTTTGATGCCTTATTACCGTAATTGCCAAATCCATCAGTCATTGCAGGCTGTCTTCAAGACTTCATTCTCTTTCACCCTCTGCTCAGGAAGGAGAGCCAGCTTATTTTGACAATGCTCACAGAAAGATGCTTGGCATTTGTTTATTCTGCACTGTACCTCTGGTCATCCTTGTTCTTCTCACTCTTTAAAGGTAAGCTAATCTCTGTTTGTCCAGGGCTTTCATTTTTTTGGTAGTGGTTTAGGTTTATTGTTGCTGTTGTTTTGATTTGTTGTTTGGTTTTTGTTTCTTTTTTAATCTTCTAAATGCTAGTTACATCCATCCCCAAATATTTTTCTCAGTAAGTCTTGTATCTGCTTATATTTTGGACTTCATTAGAGTCCCATGCTGGTTTAACTGACTTTTGTAATCAGTTTGGGTAAGTTTGTGGATCTTGCAGTGCTGGGATCTTACATTTTTTTAGAGAAGGAAGAAGCGTGTGTGTTTGGTTTTGTGTTGTTTTTTTAAAATTAAAAATGAGTAATTTTAACTTCCGTAAATTAATTGAAATTGTTGTGTTTCAAAAGAAATATTTTCTTGCTTTCCTGAAAAATGTAACCTTACCATGGTTTTTTGACAACAGGAAATTATAACTTCAGGCTGGGCAGAATGATTTGGGAACGCTGTAGGTGTGTGAGTGCAATGGTGTTCTACAGAGAAATACAAGCAGAAGAAAATTCATAACTGTTTATTCTCTGTGCATCATGTAGAAATATTAAATCTGTATAAATACATAAATTTATTAATTCTGGTTTGTTTTTATTAAACATACTCTTAGTATGCTTAATAAAAACCATTAAGACAGAGATGGATATATAGCTGAAAATATCTAATAAAAATAATGGGATTCTGTAGTCTAAGGTGTGAGCTCTGACTAAGCTGTCTTCAGAAGTTTCAGTATGGTGCTAAAAAAATAGGAGCTGTGTGATTATTTCAAAATATTCAGGATAGCAAGACTGACAATAAAGTGTTTTTAAGTGAGAATGTTGAAATAGCCCCAGTCATGAAAGATACTCAGTATTCTACACAAAATGTGCTTTTATCGGTCCCTTTCAGCTGCAACATAAATACCTGCAGCAACCAAAAATTCTAAAACTAAGTATTCTAGGTGTGAAGGACCATATTTTGTTTCTCACAATTTATATATAAAGAAGGATTGTCTTTTTAAAGCAGAGAAAGTTGTCCATCTATTTCAGACGTGCAAGGGCACTGGAAACTTGCATATATGGGATGTTGCACTGGACTATTCATGCCACATAGATAATTCCTCACTAATTCATCTGAAGCTGTAAAACATCTGGGCATTTCATTATTACAGATCCACATTTCATCTGCCTAATGTAGTAATGGTACTGCAGAAAAATATTTCCCCACCGTGCTGAATTAAGAACCTTGCTATCTTCAAGATATGTCTGTGCTACTGTAGGAGCTGAACTAACAGGCGGGTTATAGCATCTAGTTATGAGATAAGTAATTTTGTGGACATTCCCATTTTGAGTAGTTGTGTGTCATGTAAATCCTGCCTTTTAAATAATGAGTAATCACTAATTCATCAGGGGATGCCTAGTTTATCTAAACAGCACATGAAGACAAACTGCTTTTATAAATAATTCAGAGAATTTTTTGTTAGGTGCTCTTACTAACAGCTTACAAGTGTGCACTTTTACAGAAAAATGCAAAAGCAGAATAAAATTAATCTCTGATAATGTTGGTCTGTAACTGACTTCTGCTTTACAGATTTTTTAAGTAAAAAAAAAAAGAAAAAAAAGAAAAAAAGGAAAAAAAAAACCAGAAAGACCTGGGAATTGAGCAATGGGGGAAGAGAAAAAAGTCAAGATGATATTATCATGTTATCAGTAGCAGAGTTTTTTGTTTTTTAACAGTAAATCCAGATGAACTTTCCCCTGGGTTCCTTAGTTCACCCACAAGGAAGTCACACCAAATTCAAATCATAGCTAAAATCACTCTCACATAGCACTGAGTTTTTTCAACATTGTTCATAGCAATTTATCAAGTACTGAAAACTCCTGTAGGGCTGTTTGACAGGAAGGTTGTCACAAGAACTAGATAAAAACCAAACACAAACAACACATGAAGAACTCAGTTTTTTTCCCAGTTCTTTCCTCAACTGTCTGCCTCAACCTGACTTTACTTGCAATAATGCTGGAAGCCCCAGTAGTCATGTTATTTAAGTTGGGTCATTGCAGCCCTCTTTCTCAAAGGGTTGATGATGCTTTTTTTGAGACATGGGTCTAAGGAAAAATCAGGAAACTGGTTTTCAACCTTCCTATATCCCAGGTGAATACTGTCAGGGTCAGACATCCCTTCCAGGCCAGGGGCAATCCTTGAAGAAGCACCCAGAATGTAGAAGGACCCAGTGAGTCTCAGCAGCTGCCTAACAACTTTGGGTGGAGAAACTTGAAAAACCTAGTCTAGGGATTGATTGCAAAGGAGGGATCATTCCTGCTCCTTTTTTTTTTTTTTGAGTGTGATGCAATCTGAGGGATAGGGTGCAGACAACCCTGCAAGTACATTCTGAGAAACATGTCACAGTGATCACTAAGATGCATAGCCTCTCTGAGGAGTTACCTTCATATCAGGGCATAGTCACCTAGAGGGTTTGAACAGCCAGGGAGGTTAAACGCACACTTGGCTAGTCTCCAGTCAAACCATGTATTCTAATTACTGTGTCTTTATATCCTTTTTTATTTCTCAAGTGAGACCACACGCCGCACAGAGCAGAGTCAGAGCTCTCAGGTTCTTTGTTCTGTACAGACTGCCATCAGGGTCGTATCTGGGCAAGTGGCTTTGAAAAGCCCAGCAAAGGCAAAGGCAAGCTGAGGACAACAACCTTTCTCTGCAGTCTGGTGGGAATATAAGTGCTCAGCTGTATGGGACAAATCCTATGGCAGGGGATGCTGCAAGTGAACTAACCAGTTCAAATATGTAAATTATGAAGTAATTCAGCCCGACTTGGTGTACCCAGCTGGTGCAAGCAGCTTTTCTTTGGATCACTCATAAGACAGATATGAATTACAATGCTACACCCAATTTAGTACTTTTTCACACCTTTGCTTATTTCAATGGGGTCTAGTGATCACATCAGAAGAGAACTGATGATCTCTTGGAGCAAATCCTCACAAATTTCTTGGTTCACTTCCATGCAAGCAGGTGCTGTTTCTGCAGCAGCAGAAGCATTGGCAAGATAGCTTCAGAAGGCCAGATTCCCCTGCCAGGCGACAATTTCTCTAATGTGAGCTAATTAGGCTGAGGTGACATGAATTGAGAGATCTGTGTAGTAGGAAGAACAAATAATGTTACGTAAATATCTATATATGGAGTCTAAACTTCAGGCCTCAGCTGTTTAAACCTGATAGAATTAAAATGATGTGTTTTAATCAAACTTATTTACTCCAAAGAGACACAGTTGAACAGATAAAAGGATTCCTGTGCCTTATGGGAGAACAGCATAATATCATTGGTAATTTAGGTGGTTGGTGAAGTAGCTGTATTTTTACATCTCATAACTGTTATCAGAGTAGAACCATATGTGAAAGTTAAATCATTTAGAATCTTTCATACCTTAATTAGAGGTCTGAAGGTTGTATTCACCTCAACTCTCCATATTGTCTATGTTGATGCACTGAATGATACAGTTCCAAAGATAACAATGCAGCTGATGCACATTTAAAATAGAAAATACATGAGCTAGGTCTTAGCTTGTACTGGTAGCTCTTTTCTTCCATACTGATGGCATAAGAAGATGCCACACATGCAACTTGCAGACGTGGCAAATTGCTGTCAGATCCCTGCCACTACTTTAATATCTAGTAGCACAGACAGCAGAGCTGATCACTCTGAATGCTGAGAGCGTGCTAAGGCATCGCATGTGCATGGAGCCAAGGGAATAAATGTGCTTGTCCATGGCACATGCACATATACTCTGTTATCTGAAGCACTGGTGCTATTGATATCTGTCAATACATTTAAGACAGGGTCCTCAGCAAACCCCTATTTCCTTTGCATTACTGTCTGCTACAGTAACTTACTGTTCATGCTTGCTTCTTGAGGTTCGCTTTATAGTTCAATGAACCAGACCTTGTGCTCAGTCAGTAATCTTCTATGCGCATTCACTGGCACAGCTCTAAGGCTGATCTGTATTATCCTGGGCACAGCTGTGACAGTGGAGCTGGCCCAAGCTTCTGAGAAGTTGCCAGGCTCCAGGAGAGTTGGAGGTATTTCTACGTGCATTTTCTGATAGGGATCTGAGCTAAATCTTGTATTAATTCTTTTCAAATGTAACTGGAAAAAGTGGGCAGGTCCAGAAAAAGCAACTGAGTCATGACGACACCAGTGCCTATTGTTACATGCAGCTATTGGGATAGCAGTCTTGCATGTAGGGAGGGGTACAGAAGTGGATGAGAAAGTAGCATCCATCTGGTCTTTGGGATGATGCCAGATGGTACCTTGGGTACCTTCAGCCTTGCTTCAGCTTGTAGAGTTTTCTGATGGCCTCAGAGCAGAAGTTCTCGTTCCAGGTAGAGGTTTTATCTCTTAAAGGCAGCTTCAGAACTTTTCTTTCTCTCTGGTTTATTTTTCTAAGGCCTGTGGAAAAGAACATGAGTTAGTTATGGTGGTAGCACATACAATTTCATTTGCATGTGACAAGCAAGAAGGGAGGTATAATCTCTTCAGCTCTAAAGTGTGATTAAAGTAGATGAAAACCCTTTGCATCAGTCCTGACATGGTTGTTTGAAGACGTCTACTGACTAGAGATCCTACATAAACTAATTAAGAAAGAGATCAAATCTGACTGAGACAGGTAGGACTAGCACTGGCAACCAGTATCAACCCAGGAAATGAGAAAGGCAGACAGGAGTTTATTGCTGTTTTAGAACACAGTCCTGAGAAAATATGGCTTAAAGAAAGAGTTTTGCTTAACAAATACTTTCTGCATTGAGCAAAACAGCTGATGAGAAGGCTGAGACCAGAACCAGATGGAGTGTTTGGAAGTAAGACTCTCCCCACCCAGGGCTTACAATTAAGTCAGTAAAATGCGATGGAAAGGAACCTGTAGTCAGCATGAGTACTTATGTATGTAAACAGTGAGGTCCATGCGTCTCCACCTTGCATTGCTGTCAATTGGCTTTGCT